CGCCCAGTCTAGTAAATTTAAAACTAAATAAAACAAAAACAAAAAAAAAAACAGATATAGTTATAATAGTGTGCGTCAACGAAGCGAACTATAGTATTTTAAACTTAAAAAATATTTTAGACATTTTTTCAAAACTTTATTAAATTTTAAAATATGTACTTTCAAAATATGTTCCTATTATTTTTTCTTATTTTTCTTTTAATTTATAAACCTTATTTTAAATTTATAAACCTTATTTTAAATTTATAAACCTTATTTTAAATTTATAAATCTTATTTTAAATTTATAAACCTTATTTTTCATTTAATTTATTTTGATACTTCATTAAACCTTATTTTCCATAATTCTGTTTTTTTTTTTTTGTTTTTTTTTACTGGTCAACCTGGACCAGCAAGAATTCATTTTTTGAAGTCAAAAAATGAGTTCTTGCCATTGACCCTCTTTATTTTCTACGCCGAATAATAACATTGCATTTAACTTCTTTAATCTATCAAGATTTACCAGTTTAATAATTTACCAGTTAAACTTACTGTTTCTAATTATTGTTGGAAAGTCGTTCAATAGTTGTACAATAAATTTTACATATGAAACTAGTGTAATTTAATTTAAAGTGGAGTGTAATTGGACAGGTTTAAGTTAAGATTTACACTGTATTTATTTGAAAACTATGTTCTCCTGCGCAGTGGATTCTAATACCGGTGGTTGTCTTGCAGGGTACTTTTGAAATTTAAGTTAGGGGTTGTCCGTATATTACGTCACGCTTCAGGAAGGGGGGGAGAGGGTAAGGGGTTACTGGTTTTGTGACGAACTTGTCACTAAAGAATTATGATTTTGAGATCCGAGAGGGAAGGGGGAAGAGGATGTCTTAAATTTGGTGATGTAATTTATAGACGACCCCTTAATATTATTAATAGACGACCCATAAATTAGATTGAGTTTGCTAGCAGAATTTCTGACTGCGTTTTCTTGAGAAAGAAAACGATCATTGTAGGTTAATAAAAGGTAATCAAAAGAAAGTACAAAAAAATATTTGCACCCTAATATGTGCTTGGAGCATTTGCTCCAACTGCTACATTATAGCTACGCCTCTGGTTGTATTAATTTTTTAAAAAATTGCAATAACCAACTGTCGAATGCTTTGAAAAAATAATAAATACTCCTAAAGTATTTATTATTTTTTCAAAGCATTCGACAGTTGATTATTGCAATTTTTTAAAAAATTAATATTTTTTAAAAAATTGCAATAATCAACTGATTATTGCAATTTTTTAAAAAATAAAATTGCAATAATCAGTTGATTATTGCAATTTTATTTTTTTTCAAAATCATTAATCATTTGTTTACCTAATTTCATTCTCAGTCGAATGGTTTTTCTAAAATTCGAATTCTTTTAGGAAAAATAAGTTGTTTTTATTAAAATATTCAATGATTCTGTTAAAAATTTTCAAACAGTTCTGAAAATTCAGAAAGTAATGATATTTGTCTATAGTTTGTAATGTTCGAATGATCGAATACAGTTTGTAATGCTCGAATGATTATTGCATTTGTAAAAAGGGATTATTTTAACTAATTTAAAAGCATCAGGAAAAAAACAGTACTTTGGTAAAAGTTTCAGTAAACGGAAAATAGGTCAGCTTAAGCTAGTTTTATTAAAAATAACTTTGTTGTTTGATTATTTATTATATCTTGATGATTTCTTTTTCTTTAAACAATAAAAAAATTTCAAACAACTTTGTTGTTTCAAAAATTTATAACAACATTAATGTTGTTATAAATTTTTAAAACAGCAAAGTTGTTTGAAATTTTTTTGCAGCAATTGCTGCTTCAAATTCTTTATAGATTGGATAATTATCGCGTAATATGGCGTCATTTGGGGATTTGACAAAATATATCAATACTTTCAACATTGATTCTCTTATGTAGTGAAGATTGATTTTTTTTTAATTTTCTCATTATGCCGTTAATTATTATCATGTTTTCAAAATTAGCATACTATTTATAATTTTGCATGTTGAAATAGGTAAAATTTTGTAAAAGTATTTATATTTTTTGTACTTCTAATGATTTTGAGCGTATTTAATTTTTTGAAATTTATTATACAGTTTTTGTTTCTTTCATGGGCATTTCACTAGAGATTTATCCATTGGATAAATTTTTAAATATCTATTTTTAAATGATTAACTAATAAAAAAGCATATCAATATAAATCTATCCTGGCTTCCCAAATAAGATATACTCAGTCATAAATTACCAAAACTATTGGCGTGATCAAGTTCACTCATACCTTAATATGCAAAGTAATAATATATCTCAAACTAATATATCGTGGCCTAATTCACTATTACATCAACATCACATCCATGAATTAACAATTGCTTTTGCCTTAATTATTATATTCTCGTAAGGGTAGGTTTCATCGTAGTGTTTTTGTATCTTAAAACTTGATATCGACTTACAGACGTAGCTTTTAACCGTTTTCTTTTATGGTTTTTCTCATTTCTATTATGATAGTAATATTAGAAGGGAGGCTTACTTTTTTAGATATAATTGACTGTAATAAAATATTCCTAATATATCTACAATTTATTTTATAAAAGTATTATACAATACCTATCGTTTTCAATATTTTATACGATAAATTAATCGACACAACATTTATATGACGCTTATTGTTTCCATTATGTAGTAAAACTAAAAACATGAATTATTCATAAACTTACTTTTTAAGTTTGCTTTTCAAATTTTTTTTTCCGAAGATTTTTGATGACAAGACTTCTTCTAGACTTCTGCAAGTTCCCAACATCATAATTTTAATGTTAAATATTATCCCCACAAATTATAGTATATTTTACAACATATATATGCTGTATGCAAAGATATGCATTTTATATTATATATTTTTTAAAAGCGGAGAACTCCATAAATTTGGACAGAGCCTTGATTGGAACACTAGCATTTATTTTGGAAATAAAATGTCTTTTGGTTTTTTAAGTAAAACAACTTATTTTCTACGTTTTGAAAGATTTTGAAAGTTATCCTTCAAAAAATGCATGCGCACTATTAACTAAGCTTTTTTGCGTCAACTTTTTTAGGTGATCTAATTTTGTGTTCACAGGGTATTGATTCCACAGGATAAACTATGATAATGTGGGTTTTACAGTTTTTCATGTGATAGGGTTTAATATGTGATGGTGTTTAATATGTAAATAAAAACACAAGCTTATTTTGTAAGTTCCTGCAAGCATGATTTTGCCGCAGGGCCGTTAAAAGGGATAAAAAGGACACAAATCTCACGCCTACCTTCAAAAAAGACGACAAAAAAATTCACGGCTTTCTTTCACGACCTTTCTTCAAAAAAGAAAGCGACTTAACTAGAAGCTTGTGTCGCCAATATGTGACGAAGCTTGTGTCACCAAGGTGACGAAGAGAATTATTATTGATAGGATTATCGAACGATGTGCACAATCTAATATCAAAGCCTCACATGGAGTTGCACATTGCAAGAGCTACATTACAAAACAGATTGAATTTTTACTACAACGTAGACATAACTTTTACTGATTTTTAAAAAGCATTTATCAGTGCCAGTGTTAATATATAGTTATTTATTATTTAACTTTTTATTTAAATTTGTTAAGAAAGCCAACTTTATTTATTAATTTAAATCCATATCTTTATAAAACGAACATTTTGTCAATTCTTTCTTGCGTCACACGTTTTGCTCTCATGTAAGTTAATTTTAAAACGGAATTAAGTTTATTTTTGTGTTCATGACATGGTTCTGAAAGATTTATAATCCTATATAACACCAAGCTAAATCGATTTGGCGAATGTTGGATATGAATATTACAGCATATTAATTTTTCGAGTCAACTTTTAATGAAACAAATTCAAGAGCGCAACACTAATTTTTTAAATATCTTTTATATTTTTTAATAAATTTAAAATATCTTCAAGACATCAAGAAACTCTAAACAAATATTCTCGTGATCGAGTCAAATAAGTATGCTTTGTGAAAGATGATCAGAATCGGAATTCTAAACTTTTGGCTTTCTTTCTCAAAGTTTGTAATTTATCGAAAAATTTCAAATTTCATCCAATTTATTCGAAAATTACGTTTTTGATTTTAAGTTTAAAACCAACCCTTAATTTAAAGAATTTAAAAATTTTTACACGGTCATAATTTTCAAACTCTTAGAAATAAATAACTAAAATTTGGAATCTATCAATTAATATACACTTAGTTCAAGGTAGTAAAAAAAATTTCTCAAAAAACCCGTCGCTTATGATTTAACAACATAAACATGAACTAAAAAATTTCTGGAAGTTGGATATCCTAGCGACCAAAAAAAATTGTCTCTACGACCATATAATTATTTAATAGAGAAAACTCCCCCCAAAAAAAAACAAAAAAAATCCCAAATAAAACTCCCAGTATTAGAAAAAAAACAAAAAACAATTGCAATTTGTTTCAACATGTCATTTACATTCCATACATTGAATGTTATTATAAAATGAAAAAATTTAATACTAAAAAATAAATAATGGTTTTAAAAATAATTTCATTGTATCTATTGGAAATCACAGTATCTAATTGATATTTGAAAAGAAAAAGCAACCAACATAAAAACACGAGAAATAATTCTAGTCAGGGTTGACTCTAACCCAGAAAATTTCTTATTTCAATAAAAAGTATAAAAATTACTATAAAGAAACACATCTAAATTTTCTTAAAATAAAAAAAGTCAACAAAAATGATAAAAAAATAAGAAATTGAAATCATATTTATAAAAAGAAAAAAAAGGTATCCTATACCTCTAAGAAATTGATTGCACCACGCAACACATACTTATATTAAATGAATATATGAATATATATATATATATATATATATATATATATATATATATATATATATATATATATATATATATATATATATATATATATATATATATATATATATATATATATATATAAAATAAATAAAAAGAATTTAGCCAAAAAATAATTGCTATTTTAAATCTTATAAATAAATACTTAATTTTAAATTAAAAACTAACAAAAGGAAACAACAGTCAAATTTTGTCATTTTTAACAAGAACAGTTGCTTTTATTTTCTTCATGTACCTCGTCGATTTCTCTTAACTTATGTCCACGTTCAACACCATTAGCTAGACCAGGAGGTAACGTTGCCTTATCAACTGAACGTTCCATTTGTTCCATTATCTAAATAAATTTTTACTTTTTTGATTACAACTTCCATAAAACTACCAGGCTTAAAATAGCAATATTATATAAAATTTTTTGCATCATGTGTTTGCAACATTTTTTCAACTTGCAGATTTATAATTCTAATAAAAATAAAATAGTAATAATCACTCAGATGATGTTTTTTGGCAACGAAAATAAATTTTTTGGTCAATGCGAATTTTAACGTTTAGAAACAATGTTGAACAAATTTTTAAAGAAAATGTTTTGGTTGAGTTAACTTTTTTACTTTTTTTACCGAGAAAACGTAAAGTAGAGAACTTATTGAGAGTGTTGCCTTTATAAATATTGGAATATCAACAATGTTGAAATAATGATTTGCAGTAAATGCGGTAGTGGTGTAGTGGTAGAGCGCTCGCTTTATAAACGAGTGGTTCCGAGTTCGATCCCCACCACGTCCCTGGTAGTACCGCGCTCAACTCGTTTCTCCGCGCAGCGGCCTTGTTCGTCAAGGTTCGTGTTTCGGAGTTATAGAGTTGAGAGAGGGTTAGCCACGAATAAGTAGCCTCCTCGTCTGTAGTGGCCTTCTCGGCCTTGAGGAGGTGAATTAAAATTAAAAAAAAAAAAAAAAAAAAAATAATCAGATCAGATTCAAGATTGTCTGCCTGTTCTAAGCGATTGAAAAGACAAGACTTTTTGTCAAGACAGGACATACATAGTTATGTTACTATCATTAACTACTATTACTAACATTACATAGTTATGTTACTATTATAGAGCCGCTTTAGATATAAGATTGCCAAGTAGATCATTAAAATAGATGAGAAACAGTACCAGAAAAACTGGACCAGTGATAGAACCTTGTGGCTCTCTCAGAAACCCTCAGAAGTTGGAAAATGAAGAAAAGTGTTGGTCTTTGAGGATGACTTCAATGCTACAGTTATAAAGTTATGATTTATTAATCTCTATTAAAAAACTTTCCTAGATCCACCATATGAAGTGACCTTATTGAAAAGACCAGCCTGCCAGACTTTATAGAAAGCCTTTGATATGTCAAAAGCGTTTATGAGATGCCTTAACCTTGTGGCCATTTAATCCACAATGAGAAGATTGAAACCAATTATCAGCGAGTCATATTGATTGTTAGTTATTAGAGTCAAGATATTTGAAGTTTGTTAATTAAAGACTCAAAGCCTTTGCTAATAATTGGATGATAGGAGAGAAGAGAAGAGAGTTGATAGAGAAAAAGAGAAGAGAAGAGAGTTGATAGAGAAGAGAAGAGAGTTGATAGAGAAGAGAAGAGAGTTGATAGAGAAGAGAAGAGAGTTGATAGAGAAGAGAAGAGAGTTGATAGAGAAGAGAAGAGAGTTGATAGAGAAGAGAAGAGAGTTGATAGAGAAAATAAGAGAGTTGATAGAGAAGAGAAGAGAGTTGATAGAGAAAATAAGAGAGTTGATAGAGAAGAGAAATAATAGAAGGAGAGAGTTCTATAGAGTTTTTAAAAATTGGAAATACAGATACCATTTTCCACCAAGCAGGAAAACAAGATTTGGTTAAGCACTTATTATATAGTTTAGAGAGAATTAAACAGAACTTAGAAGAACACTTTTATAAGACAAAATTTTATATATAGTAGACTAAAAAGAAACCTTGTCTAATTTCTTATTCTTACTTTGTCTCAAAAACACTTAGTTCATTTTTATTATTATTTAAAAAGAAAAAGAAAAAAAAAACAATTTACCTGATCTAACAATGATTGGACAGCTTCAGACACATTTTTGCCTGTTTTTGCACTTGTTTCAAAATACTGAATACCAAGACTGTCAGCTAATTGCCTTGCTGCACTTTCATCGACAGCTCTGTCATCCAAGTCAGATTTATTGCCAACCAGAACTTTAATTAAAATATTTTATAAAATACATACACTTTATTCATAAAACATTTAAATAAAAACATACTTTTAAACTTTTATAATTTTTTTTTTTCATTTTATTACAAACAGTATTAAATTTTTTTTCTTTTTCTTAGTAACATCTATTTAAAACATAAGTCGAAAATCAGCAAACTTTTACATTATAAAAAAAAAATACAAAGTAGAAGATATTGAAAGTAGATTTTGCTGTAATACTTTTTTAAAATGAATCATAATCATGTTTTATAAAAACCAACAGAAATATTTTTTAAAACTTTTATAGAATTTTGCTTTGTTAAAGACCCTTTGTTAAAGACCCAGACAAATTTTGTGGGTTTTTTTGTTTGTTTGTTAATAATATTAGGGACTTATTGTTTCTGTTAGTAATTTAGTGCAAGCACACAATTTCTGTTTGCATTTTTTTAACTACACTCTAGTGATTTTCAAACAAAAACAAAAGATATGTGATTGTTCAAGACCTGGTCTTCTATGGATTTTCTAAGCAAAATATGAACAGCAACTTAAAATATGAACAGCAATTTTCACCTGGCAACAAAAAATATTTGTATTTTTATAACCAATCGAAGAATAAACTATTTCTGTTCCTCATTCTTTGTCAGTGTGTCATTGTATTTCTCAATAAGAGCCTTTTAGTTACATCATTTACAACTGTCATGTGTGCAGCCACATCGATGCACAAAATGTCTTTTATGCAAGATGTTGAGAAATGATGTTTAGAAATTTAAAAAATAAACTTACTTCTAACAGAGCTGCATGCAACCACTATTTGGAAGTTAACAGAAAGCAATAAAAAGTTAAGGAATAAAAAAGTGGTTAACAGAACACTTAAAAAACTTTAAATTATATGAATCAGGAAAACATAAAAATAAGAATTCCAAAGCACAAGGAGCTGAGAAAAAAACTATATTTATATTTAGTTAATATATATAAAATGTATAAATATATTTTGTTTATATTTAAATGAAAATTTAACTAAATACAACTTTTTTATTTTATTTGGAAAAATTATCTTCCTTAGTCATGGCAAAATAGCTTTCAGTGTTACCAAGTTATTTACAAACACTTAATGTTGGAATGTTAAACACTTAATGTTGGAATGAATTGTTATCATGTTATCAATTTAAACATTTTTTGAATTGATAATTGATAAACTTTGAATCCCTTTTGTAAACTTTGATTTATTTCAAGTATAACACGTTTTAAATAATTTTAGATATAGTATTAATCAATAATGGTATACACTTTTCAACATATATCCCAAATGAATGACACCTGTTGTTTTGAAGAAAATGAAGATGCTTTTCTTACAAACTTGACATGTCATTCTCTGACATTCTCAACTAGCGATTTCTGACTTGTGTGTGATATGTCTCAAATAAAACTAAAATTTATCACCTATAACAAGATCACATGTCTCCATAGATTGTTTTGTGGAGTATCCAACATGATGCTTTTATCTTTTTTTAAGAGTGTTGCGATCAATATAATTGATTGTTAAATTAAAAAGTTGTTTGATGTCAAAGCTTTAATTGTATCATGTATCGCATAAGGAACTTGATCAATAACAAAGTGAAATTGCTTGATATTCTCAGATATATTGACGTTTGTTTAATGTTCTCAGTCTTTTTATATATCTCTTAATATATCGACGTTTGTTTAATGTTCTCAGTCTTTTTATCTCTTAATATAATAATGATTAAACAGGATGGTATTTTGATTCCTATTTGAACATTTGAAATGAATATTTTCACAAAAACTGAATGTAGATTTTAAATTAATTTTGTGGATATTGTGAATTGCACAAATAATTTCTTTCAATAAACACACAACTTTATTATTACATACTGTTTTTAATACCATTTATTCTTAAATACTCATCTATTATATTTCATTAAAATTTGTCTATCAATATATCAATTGTAATTCATCAATATAGTATATTGATGGTATATTATACCATCATTTAACATTTAATAGAGAAAGATTAGATTCACTGCTTATTTAACCTCCATCAGTTGTTCAACCTCCATTAGTTGTTTCTCACCTTTAAATATATGAAGAAAAGTTAAAAGTTTTTGTAATTCCTTCACAAGTAGCTGGTGCAATCCATCAATGTCCGTTTTAAATATAAAATGAAAAGAAATTTAAATATTTTCCAGTTAATTTATTGTAGTTATTCAAGCAAACTTATTTTTAGAACTACCTTTATGGTTTTATATAACTAAATTAATATTAAACATGTACATAAAAGATGTAGTTAAATTTAACATTAATGTTAAAATTAATGTAAAGTCCTTTGTTTTACTTCCCTTTTTAAAATCTATTTTTAATTTGGCTTGCTAAATTGGTAAACAACAATTTTTTAAATGGTTTAAACCATTTAGTTTAAACCTATCAACCCTGCTAGCAAAGTTTTAGAGTTTAGGAGATACCAGAGAGAGTTGAATAAACAAGGCACAATTAAAAACTTATTAGTAGATCAAGAAATCCAACATTTGTCTTGGTAGGCAGAAAATGTCACAGTTTTTAAAGAGCAATGGGCAAAAATGTTAAAACTGACTGAAAAAAGCTGAATATAATTTTTTAACCTTACCAGTCAGTAGCCTTACCAGCCACTGTTAAAATGTTGATTGTTATGATGATCATTTCAACAACTTGTTCAGAATTATCAATCTGAATAAGCTGATGAATTCAGTAAAAAAATTTAGTTACCAATGATCGGATCTTCACAATAGGCATGTGTTTGCAGTTGGGATAGCCAACACCTAACATTTACAAATGATTCTTCATGTGCAAGATCAAATATAAGCAAAAAACCCATTGCATCTCGAAAAAATGCAGTTGTTAAACTTCTAAATCTATAACAAATAAAAATTAAAGATAATATTACTCAGGACATGTAATCTAGCAAGTACCCATATTTAAATGCATTTTTTTAAATAATTTTTTTTCTAATTAAAAAAAAAATAAATATCAAGTTTTTATAGTGTATGGTGTTATGGTGTAAAAGACTTTGAAGACTTCACAGTGATTTTTTTTTTTTAGAAAAATTATATCTTCCTTAAACTGCATGATTTAACATATTTTATAAGATATTTTTGTTAATACTTTGGATGGTCATATAATTTGGATATATGCAATTAAATGAGGAAGGGAGTTTATGCAATTAAACAAGGAAGGGAATATATGCTGTTAAATGAAGAGTGTGTAAAGGATATGCATCTAGTGTTAAAAGCATAAGACAAGAATAAAGTTTGCTGTTAAGAGGTAGAACTAGATATTTGTAATTCAATATAAAAGCGTTTTTGAATGTCTGATAAGATGAGTTTGATATTGATCTGATTTAAAGATCTTGAAATCACACATTGACTCTGGTAGAAACCAATATCACATAGTGACATTGGTTGAGGAAATCTATAGATAAAAAACTGAGGAAAATATATTTTTACTGATACTGAAATAGCTTTTAATGTTAGGAGAGCATATTCACCCACGATTCTAAAATTTTATTTGGCTAACTTACTAAGTAAATATTTACAATTTAAGATAAGGGTCAATTGAATAGGATAGCAAACCTTATTGAATTTATTTTTTCATTTTTTTTCAAAATATTAAAGATAAATTTAGAATAGCAGAAGCTAAAAACACTCATTTGAAATCAAAGGTGCATAACATATGCTTCCTTGAGATCATTTGGGATCAACAGTACACTAACTTGAGATCAAGGGTATTATATGCACCCTTGATCCCTAGTATGATTGTAACTCGATATTATGCTCAATATTATAATAGTATGTAAAACTAGATTTTTTATTTTGCAGACTTTTTTTTTAATTTTTTTATTCTTTTATAAATATATTATACTTATGGCATCAAGAGAGAAAAAAAGCAACAACAAAAAAAAAGTGCAAAAAAAAAAAGAAGCAAAAAATAAAAATAACATTACAGCTAAATATTAAAAAAAAAGCATGCAGAAAAAAATAAATATAAATAAAATAATATAATAAAAATAAAAACGATGTTTCAAAACATTTTCAAAACATCTCAAAATAAAATAAAATTTGAAATTAAAATCTAACTATTTTAAAACAGAACTATTTTTACTTCTTTAATGACATAAAATTGCTTCTTCACTATATCATTTTGTTCGTTAAAATGATGCAACTCATGGCCTAATTTAGTGACAGATCAAGTAAACTTATAATTTAAAAAAAAAACTGTAAGCAAGCTTTTTTTGTAATATGGCACAACAATGTTTCAGAAAAAGAACTGGGTCTTTAAATTTATTACACTGAAAATTTTATTTTTATGTGTAATTAGCTTTTTTTATGTATATTAAATTAACTTTCTTCTTAGAACAAAATAATTAGATAGTTATCAAGTTTTGTGTCACTGGGTGCAAACGTTTGATGAATATGTAAAAGTACTTTGTCTTCAAAAAAAAAAAAAATTTGATGACGAAAAAGATGAAGAAAAGTGCTTTATCTTAAGATATTTCAGGTGGCCCATATATTTTTATTTATAAAGATCATTGCCCTAAAGATTATAAGTTTTTGAAAAAGAACATGAAAGTTATAACCAAAATATCCACCAACTGTACTTTTTTGTATAAATCTGATAATATCAAATGTCTATTGTGTAATCTCAGAGTTAAATAGTTGAGTAAGGGTTGTAACCACAATAGAGTCTCCTCAACTGTAGTTGAGTAAGGGTTGTAACCACAATCAAGTCTCCTCAACTGTAGTTGAACTCTCTAGCAGTAGTTCTTTAGACAATGAGTTGACAATTGTAACTTAAACAAAAAAGGTAGAACTTTTATGAATTTTTTTTTGTACAAAATTCTTTAAAGGGATCCCAAAGCTCTGAGATATGTTGGGTTCATATTAAAGAGAATGATAAAAAATGTTTGGGCTAAATTTTTTTGATTGAAACAAAAGAATAAATGCATGCCAAGAAAAACTAACTTTTTTATTTCAGTCGAATCCCTTCCCCATTTTGTTGTAGGCCAAAAAGTAAGATAATGTATGCCACAATCTACAGACTTGATAATTTATTCAAGCGTGTTTTATTCCTAAGAGTATTTTAGTAAATGACAAAATTGATTTTTTTTGTTTATTTAAAAAATTGATTATGTGAACAAACAAAAAAAGTCAATAAATAAAGTCTGTAGATTGCGGCGTATATTATGCTGACTTTTTGGTCTACAACAAAACAGAAAAGGCTAGCTTTGACTAAAATAAAAAAGTTAGTTTTTCTTGGTATGCATTTAATCTTTTGTTTTAATTTAAAAAATTTAGCCCAAACATTTTTTTATCATTCTTATTAATATGAACACAATATGTATAGGAGGTTTGGGATCCATTTAATGCCTAATGTCATATTTCAGAAAAGCTTTTAAATAATCACATAAAAACACATTTACAGTCTAATTGTATTTTTTCTTTGTTAGGCTGTTACTAGGTAGAATATCTTATTAAATTAGTGAATGAATTTAAAAGGGAATTTAAACCATTATAATACATTATTTTATCTTTTTCAGATCTTAAAGAATATAATCAAATAGTTATAATTTTTCATAAAGTTTTTGGCGTAAAGAAAAAATTAATAGGTTTTCCTACCTAATAATTTTTCTATTTATCTTATTCTTTTTACTGTACTTGTAAATCTATTACAGAAGTAATAATAATAAGAAGGGCAACAGCTAACCCTGTTGCTACAGATATTTAACCTTGATGTTATTTATTACACAAAGTTACCCTTACAAGAGGAACACATTTAGGATGTGCAATTTTTTGAGAGATCAATCAAGATAGCTTTGTAGACACTTCAACCCAAGTAGAACCCATATTATTTTTGAATGTAAGAACCCAGACTGAGCCAAGTCAAAAACTCATTAGGTAGGTTTCACAGAAGCAAAGGCAGCTGGACCACACACAAACCTGTAAGTGACAAATATAATTTAATAAACACAATATAAGATTGGGATATATTGGATACTTATTTAAATTTTTAAGAATTTTCTACATTTATTAGAGCTGTACCTAATTTTTTATAACATTTTTAATAACTGAATTTCTAAATTTCTTTTGTTCATACTTAATCATCAAGTTTAATTTATGAAAACCTATGTAAATATATAGAATCTTCTTTTTTCTGCCTTTCTAGTAAAAAAACATTTCCCATTTATTTTCATCCAAATATAGCACACATCGCCAGTGAGATAACTTGCAACTTTTGTAAACACAACAAAAATCCTGCTTTGTTGCATTTATATATATAACAGTACTCTAAACAGTGTGCTGACTAATCAGAGTTTTGTTGAATGTTCTCGTAAAAAAAGCTATTTGTCAGCACTAATATTTTGCTCAACAGCACAATGACTATGAGATAAACTGAAAACTAGGATAAATATTTTGATTTTTTTTTTAATTTCAATTCACCTCTTTAAGGCCATGAAAGCCATTGCAGTCGAAGAGGCTACATTTTTTAGTTGTGGTTACAGCCCTCTTTAACTCTATAACTCTGAAACATGAATCTTGACAATCAAGGCCACTGCTCGGAGAAACAAACTGATCTTAATAATTCAAATGTTTCAAATTCAAATAAGGCATTAAAAACTAGTCAAGGCCCATTTTAAAACTTTGCCTGAGGAGGTTGTCCTTATAATGACTTACTCATCATTATAATAATAACATATACCAGTTATAATGACATCATAGTATTCTTATTTAGGCCTTTGCTGAACTTTTCCAGTATAAAAGGACATTTATTTTAAGAAGCAATTTTTATGTCTATCATGGTGTTAACTGGTTTTATACAGATCATGTCAATATAAAAAATATGCAGATATTTTATTTTGACAGAAGATTGCCACTAGGAATATTATCATCCATAGTTAATAAGTTCCCTTCTATCCTTAACCCAGAATTTTATTGGGGGGTTTATATCATAGCTTTTCTTTCTTAACTACCCTAAGTATAACAGGTTGTACTGGTTTAAATGTTACCAGTAAATTTTAAAAAATATATCTAAATTAAAAATTGGTTTATACATTTAAAACTATAACAACTAAAACAAATACTTCCAAAAACTTCTTCAATCTTTTTTATATTAGAAGAAAACATTCATTTCATATCTAAGCTATATACAATTATATAAAAGAAAGTATTTTGGAACCACATTACAGACAACACCGCAATTTAAAGTTGGTGTTTGCCTTTGCCTGTTTTTTTTTTCCTTGATAAAACAAACTAATAATATCCAAATTATGTAACGTAAGCAAGTTGCATATACGCCACAATGGGCACATTTCAAGAAAACAATGTTTGAGACAGGTGAACCTTACCAAAGCAATATAGCAACCTTAGTCATGAAGGCGATGAAACCAAAAACTCTGATATGCAACCACCCATTTTATTGTGTTCAAATTTCCAGTTTGATTTTTTAAAAATTAAAATATTAATGTTGTATAGTTTCCTTTTTTCTTTAAACTTTTAACCACAATAAAAAGTATTCTTTTTGTGGAACATTTAAAACATGGATTAAAACATATTAATATGTTTTATAGACGTCTAAAACATGTCGCTGTATAGAGGGCAGAATTACCTTGTTTCAAGATTATAACCAATTGTGCCCGATCGGTTATAATCTTGAAACAAGGTAAACATATAACAAATGTAAAAATATAATATCCCTTACATGTCTTTATAGAAATGGAAACAAGTCTTTCAAAAATAAATTTTGTATAGAAAGTAACCAAATGTAAACAAAACTCAAACTAAATTTATTATTTGTTGAACTAACTTTTGGTGTTTTTTTTTTTTGGTGCTGGACAGATAGACTTAATTCCTTCCTATTAACAATAAACTGACTATTATGATTTTACTAATTATTATAATTTACTTTTGATTTAAGTAGTAATTTAATTCCTTTGTTAAAAAGATTTATGGTTCTTGATAAGCTAGATAGAAAATTGTTCTCAGAAAACCTTTGTGCTTTGATGGTTCTTGAATAACTTAAATTAATTATTGATAATCTTTAGTTTTGAAATCTGCTGATAATAATCTGCAATCTAAATAGGATATAATAAAGTCTTAATCTTTTAAGCAATATTCTAAACCTCTACTTTTATTTATTGTTTGACCTTAAAATGAAATTACCTTTTTAAAAGCATAGAAACTAAAAAACAGATTAACTAGAAATTAAATCAATTTTTACCTCTCTTGACCTGCAGTATCCCATAACTGTAGATGAACCCTTTGTCCTCGAGTTTGCTTTGTACCATCAGCATTTTTACCATGATAAACCTATATTTTCAAAAAAATTTAACTTTTTTTTTTTCATTTTATATTATATCTTGCTTTCTTTTTTTCACAGCATAAAAAATCTATAAAATGAAGTTAAATAAGCAATAAAGCAACATGCTTTTTCTTTAGTTTTTTTTATAAGTAGTTTATTTATTTATAATCTCTTTGAAAAAATGGACCTAAAATAAACAGTACATTGACAACCTTTAATTTTATTTATTAAAGTATATAATATATATACTTTAATAAATAAAAATAAAATTGTGTTGTTGTAAATTATAAAACCTAAAATTCAAATTAAAAATTATCTTTGGCTTTTATAAATTTAAAACCATTCACAAAACCTTTTGAGTTTTAAGGTAATTTGTTTGTTACGTTTTGTGCCAGTAAATTGTGTATTGCAATACTAACACAGGCTAATTTTACATTTTTAGCATATAAAATGTTATATATATGTATATATATATATATATATATATATATATATATATATATATATATATATATATATATATATATATATATATATATATATTTATATATATATATATATATATATATATATATATATATATATATATATATATATATATATATATATATATATATATATATATATATATATATATATATGGCTTGGTAGGATTTGTTGATAACATCAATGCAACATTAAGTAAAAGTTAGTATTAAAAAAAAAGCATGTAGTAAATTAATACTAACACTCAAAGATACATATATACACACGCCTATTATTGCTCATTTTTATTAAATTTACCACTCTTTTTTCACGAAAGTCTATTCCCACTGTTGAAATGAATTCTTCAATAAATTTTCCATCAGTGTATTGGTAAAGAAATGTAGTTTTTCCAACTCCTGAATCACCAAGAGCCAAAAGTTTAATCAAATAATCATAATCCGCCATCCTCTGAGTTTTTTCCTCCATAATTTAAATATAAAACAGTTTGTATAACATTTGCTTTGAGTGGTTTTCCACAGTTGATTCTTAAAAATAATAATATTAAACCCTTGACAGAATTTTGCCAAAATTTTAAACAATTTCGTTTAAATCGCACCAGTCTACATAAACTTGCTTGTTATTTTTAGTAATTTGCCTCGATTTACACCTGTGCTTCTAGAAGTGCTCAAACGTTTTTTAAACAAAACGCTTTTTATTGGGTTTAGCCGGCGTATATTTAGAAATATCTTTTTTTAACTTATTTTTTAGGTTTGATACTATTTAAATAAAATGATCATAAACCGTAAAAAATAAATTTAATTTTACACACACTCATGCAAACACACACACTTAAATATAAATGTTATACAAGTTGAGGTGGTTTTTTACTAGACGAATTGGTGCTACGCGTTTATTTTCGTTAATAAATACGGTAGATAAAACTGTTTTAATGTAATATTTTCTTTAATTCTATTTACGTTTACAAAATAAAAAGCATTTAAAAAAATATTTTTAGAGATATTTGGTTCGTTCGTGTATTTTTTTGTTCTTTCATATTTTATCATTCTAAGTTAAAGTTCTCTCAATATCTTTTAAGATTTTATCAACAAAATCCAATCAAATCCTCATTTTATATTTTGTGTAAAATCTACAATTTTATAAAGTTGTTGAAATTGGAACACCTAAAGAATAAATATTTTTCAACCAATGACTGATTGATTCCTTAATCGAAATAGCTCGCTTCTTTTAAAAAACGACCCTAGTGAAATTAACAAAAGTTAACTAAAAATTATTTTCATCTTTACAGTGACAATTTAAACAACTCATTTAAAACTTATAATTGGATTAAAGTTGCCAGGGCAAAATGAAATTCTAAAACTTTATAAATTATAAATTGAATAAAAGCTTCAACTTGTTCATACAAAAGTTCTACATTCATACAAAAGTTCTACGTTCTACAAAAGCTTCAACTTGCTCAACAAGCTTTATGATGTGGTTTCATGCTATTTTTCCGACGCTTTGATTTTATCAACGACTAGTAAAGAAAACTTTATAGTTCCGATCAAGGAAACTTTTGACTATTTTGAAATATCACTGCAATATCTTGTTTGCACCAATTTTACAACATAATTTTATGTAATTATTTGTATTTTTAAATGCCATCGCAATATACACAAAATTTTTTTAACCCAAAACAGTATAGTTTATTCTTTGCAATCAATATTAAAAAATAAAAACCGAAATTAGATCACACACACACACACACACACACACACACACACACACACACACACACACACACACACACACACACACACACACACACACTCACACACACACACACACACACACACACACACACACACACAAACGCAAAAAAACTTTAAATCATGGCTTATTAAATAACAGGCCTTGCCAACGCGCGGCTTGCGTAAAAAACTGGAGGCAAGTTTAAAAATATTATTTCGTAGCAATTTACATTTTCAGTTTAAATGATTTTTGCCTGAATATTGTTTTTGTGTATACCTATTAAAAGTAACTTATAAAAAGTAAAAAAAAAAAATAATTTGTTAATATACTTATTTCAATTTTATTTATTATTAAACTAAATTGTGTTGTAACGATTTAGTAAGTAAAGTAAAATTTATAATTTGCTAAAATTTTTTCCAGCTTTAACCACAAAATTTTTTAGTGGGTTTTTATATAAGAAATTTGAGAGGTAGATATCCATACAAAAATAAAATTTTTGTAGAATAAAAAGTAAATACAAGTTTATAAAGATATTTTACAAAGCACAAGTTTTTGTTTAAAACATTGCAAACATCTAATTTGTGCAAAGTTTTATCAACTTCTGTTTTGGCTCCTTAAGTGAACGAGATGAATCGAGTCTACAATAATTATTTAACAAAATGTTTGTTATTGTTAATCCATGATGTCTTTCTATACCTAATGAGTAGTATTCTGATACCATCTTAAGGAGGTTACATAGTGATGAACGACAAGTGTTATTGCATACTTCATAAAAAAGTAACAGTAAGTTGCCCATTGGCAGACTTTGTCACCAGGAATAGTCAGGGCCGCCGAGAGGGAGGGGCCACCGGGACAGTTTGTCCTGGGCGGCAGATATCTAAGGGACGCCAAATGAAATTTAGGTGTATAAAAAAAAAAAAAAAAAAAAAAAAAAAAAGAGGTCTTTCATATATAATATAGGAAAAAATTGATAAATAAGGGCGCCAATGAGGATTGCTGTCCCAGGCGGCGTGACAGCTCTCGGCGGCCCTGGGAATAGTTAAACCTCCTCGATTTATATTATTTACAAAATTGCCATATGCTTCATAAAAATAAAAGGTGTCATCTGGATTTTCATCTTTACGAATAATGTACCCAGCAATATATCCTAATGACATTTTAATATCGACAGCCAATGAATCGCTAAGAGCAAGCAAATTGTCAATAATGTTGCAAATATCCTCGCTCGGTAAAAATTTACATTTTGGACAAGAGTGATCTGAACCAAGATTGATTAACACATCTGAATATTCTCAGACTTTAACAGCAACTTTGTACGATATATAGTTACTTTTTCAAGAATTTGTTGAACAGAAATAAAATAAGTTTCTCCTGAGTCTTGGCGTAATGTTCCAAAGAGCTTTTTTAATGGTCTGTTGTAAAGTTGCCTAATAACACATACTGATGAGTTGTGTCTAAAAGATATTTTGACAGCTGAACCAAGCCATAACAGGTCTGAGCTGTAATGTTTTGTCTTTATATTTATTATGAAGAAAATTCGACTATGGTCTTTATTTAATATTTATTTCAATATTTTCATATTAAATTATCACAACTAGTTTAAATATAAATCTCTGTATAGTTTCGCATCGAAACTTCAACTGTAATTAAATTCAGCGCACTGGCTTTTAAGCAAGAATTCCTCGTGCGGAATTCTCTCAAGGGAATATTTTCGTTATAAGTTTCTGTGCAATTCGCAAAAGGAAATTGCTTATTTTGCAATCGCTAGTTGCTATTCTGAATTGTTTTGCGTAACAATCATTACATGAGCTAAACAATTTTTTTTCCCCAATGCATGTGTTATTCATTGACAAAATTTGTTGATGTAAAACTTCTTTTTTGTGTGTTATTTCACAAGAATTTAAAAATCTTAATGCTTCTTGGATATAAGAAGATTTGTTCAAAATATAAACTCTGTTGGATGACAAAGTCATAACGCTACATTTAACTCCACAATGGAATACTGCAAAAGTGAAATCTTTATTTATTCAAAGAAGAAATCTAGGAATAGCACTTTCCATTAAAAAATCTGAAGACTGAATATATGATACATTATTGCATAAGTAATTGATAATAGCAAAATTTAATTCATTAGCTTTTAATTTTTCATATAAAACATTTATACTTTCTATCTTTTCGAGAGAATTAAGTATTGCTAACTCATCCTCTTCTTTCCAGCGAAAACTATTAAGACTTTTTGATGTTTTTCTAAGTGGCACGGGTACAGTTAGGACTAAACTTGGCTTTATGCAACTAAATACCGATGGAGCATCACGAGGTCTCAGCTTCCCATAATCACTAACAGTTAAATAATCTTTTGGCCAATGTCTTTCACATACTACGGTGTTATTAATATCAGGATATTATCTCTTGGTATTATAGCAATCCAACATTTTTGTTCTTCAATGTTTCTTGGAAGACGAAATGTTTTAACTCTATTCTGAGTATTATAATTACCATTGCAATCTGTTACACAACATCGACGAACCATTTTTAGAATACTTATATAATACTTCGCCTTATCTTTCACTTCTAAACTGATTCATTGAAACTTGAAATTTGGTTTGAATACTGACGGGTGTTTTGTAATCGTAAATTTTATGCAAACTTTAAACTGATGCGTATATGTATATATTTATTTAACTTAAATTATATTATTTAAAATATAATATATAAAAATTAATTAGTAAGTATTATTTTAGTTAAAAACTTTTTTTATATAATTACTATTACAAAAAACTGCCCCCGTATTTATTTTGTATAACTATTTTCGAGAATTTTCTAGTTTTTCAAATATAAAACTATCTTGCCTTTAGTTTTTTACGCAAGTCGCGCTTTGGCAAGGCCTGTTATTTAGTCAGCAATGCTTTAAATTTATGGTGTACGTGCATTTTTTGAAAAATAAATTTCAAAAAATGAAAAATTTAGCTTTGAGATATTTTATTTCCAAATAATGTGTTGCTGTTCAAGTTTCCCCTAGTTTAATTTAGAATTATTATGCAATTTTGTTAGAATTATTGTGCAATTTTGTAACTGTATTTTTCTGCAAGAACTTTCATCTTATTATCTTTTATTTTTTAATATTTTTTAGTTTTTATAAGGTATTGAGGGTTTAGCTTGAAAACATATTGGAGCAAAATTATAATATAATAATGTTAATTCAACTTTATCACTCGCTAATTCAATACCATATAAACAAAGGAAATATCGCATGAGGTAGTGCTAAAAAAATTCAAATAGATCCTCTATATCGGCAACAGAAGCATATAGAAAGTCTAATAAACTTTAAAGATCGTTATACTCATGCCAGACCTCTTTTATTGGAAATGAATGTTCTTAATATATACCAGCATAATGTTTTTAATGTTCTTTTATTTATGTACAAATGTAAGATAAACCTAACCCTTATATCCTTTCAAAATTTATATGCAATAAAACAAAAAAACAAATACGACTTAAGAAATGACAATCTTATTCATCAACATTATTCTCATACAAGTTTTGAAAAATTTCTTTTAACATATCGCGGAGCTCTTCTAAGGAACAAAATAGTTTTGAAAAATTTTGATTTTTCTCAAAGTTGGAGTTTTCTTAGCTGAAAAAAGTTATCTTGTCAATTGATAATATCTTTGAGTTCTTTGAGTTTATACCTTTTAAAAAAGTGTGTGATTCCTGAATATATTGTTTTATTTTGAAATATTTAGCTTTATATATATTCTTTATGTTGTTAAACGTTATTTTATGTTTTGAAATATCTGGTTAGATTTAAATTTTATTTCTAAACGTCATTTATTGTAATTATTTAACTGGTTATATTTTTAGTGTATTGTTAAACGGTTCTCAGTGACAG